GTAATTAATACAAGAATTGTTGGAGTAACACAAATCTCCTGCTCCAAATATATATGCTCTCATGGCTGGAATTTGTTTCTCTTTGCTCTTCCAATGTATTAGTGGTATTGCTTCATATAATTGGGGCCTGATGTACCCACAGTCAGTACCTTCTCATCTTCCTTCCTCCTTGCATCTCAGATCCACCACCTGGAATTCCCTTCCTTCACAATCCTCTTTAATGACGTTCTCCTTGGGTTCTCAGCTTCACTTAGCTTGTTCTCTGAGTATTCCTTAATGTTCCGCTGGCTCATCAACATATTTTCAAAGGTTTCAGATATTTTCTTGTATTTGGGGCTCTTATACTGGTAAGCAGGAGGACTGACTGGTTACATCTCTGCTAGACCCTGAATGCCAGGGGCGGGACTATGGCTCTTCCGTTTACTTGTGTTATCACAGGTTGTTAATGCAGAACTCTTTCTGTCTGAATTTTGGCTGAGGCCCCGAGACAACAGGTGCCAACCACAGTGAGATTCCAGGTGACATGGGCAGGGCTGAAAAGCTTCTTGACCTGCCCACCTGCCATGGGGGTGAAGCAGACCCATCCAGCCCAGGTGCCTAGGGAACCAGGGCCATCCGGTCAGGGCTCCTGGACAGGCGTGTGTGGAATTGGGTGACAGAGGCTGAGCACAAAGAATCACAGGGACAGGAGGACAGTTTCAACCACAGGGTACGTGAAGAATGGGGGGACAGTGCTGTCACAACGGGAAGAATCTCCAGATTTTGTAATCTTCCCCTTCTCCGTTGTGTTTACTGAGATGGCTCCCCTCTCCTTGGCACTTCTCTCCCGGGCATCAGGAGCACACATGTGTTACCCCCAATGATGCTCCCATCTGTGTGACTCGCTGGGGACGCCGGCAACGTGCCAGACCTGCGTGGACAGTGGACCCTCTGTCATCTGTGCGAGCTGCTTCTCCCTGCCGGGCGGGCACTGGTCCTTCTCCCAAATGAGTGGGCGCTCAGGGAGGGTGGCCTAATTGACCACTCAGCCTAAGTGAGCGGGGGAGGGGCTTCTTGGACCCACACATGCAGGGTCCACATGTCCTGGAAGGAACCCCTCTACACTCCAGCCCCACCTAGGGGGTCCTCAGGCTTCTCCTCTACCCACCTTCCCCCACATCGTCCCTCTCGTGAATGGTGAGATTTACGAGTGGAAAACTCTGCTCTTGGGTACAAGCAGAGGGTTTATAACTCGGAAGCACCGTCCCTTTGCTCTGTGCAAAAACCAGTAAAATAAAATAAAGTAATCCCGCTGCCTTTTAAAAATTCATGAAAGTCAACACTAAACATTACTGGAAATTTTCAGGTCATTGTTACCCTTTGAAGATGAAACTTTCCAGTTCATGTCCTTCCCAAAGGTGACTTTTTATAGAAGCGGTAATGAAATTAATTCACCCACTTCTGAGTCAGGAAGCACAGATTAAGATCCAATTTTTATAGCTTGGCTTTTTTCTAACTACTCAGTGGAAATGAATTGAGGAAAGCGTTTAGAATTTTCTCTAAAATGTACACCTTGGGAAGCCTTGATAGAAAGGGTGCGCTGGCGGAACCAGGTTTGTTATTTCACTCGGTGGTGACAGTCTCGACGCTCCCACGGTGTCTCTGTGAGCTTAGGAGCCAGGCCAGCCTGCAGCGGAGCAGGGAGCTGCCTCCCAGGCTCAGGCAGGGGCCCTGCACCACTGGGGGCTGTGGGGTCGGCGTGACATGGGACTGTCACTCTGCTTCTGGTTAAAAACTAGGCATTCAGGTGGACACCTGGACAGTCATCTGGACTCCTGGGAACAGCAGTCTTTCCAAGACTGCCAACCCTGGCCTGGCTGGGCACAGCTGGACTGGTCCCGACAGGGAGTGCCGGGTCCCTCCCAATCTCTGGGCGGAGGTCTGGTCTTCGTGGGTGTGCCAGTGGAGGAGGGTGAACTGACCACCCCATCGGGCTGCCCCCAACCTGCCTGAGCTGTCCAAACAGCCCAGTAGCTGCAGCCATAAAACAGGTGCTTCCCAGAGGCAGGTCTGGCGCCCCATGCGATGGCGCGCTGTCATTCTGTGTGACTTCCTCCACCTCTTCGTCACATCACAGCCCTCCTGGAAAAGCACAGTCGTCCTGCACAACCTGATAAGGCTCCAGGTCACCGCAGCAAACTGACCTCAGCACCAGGCGTGGGACCGGGGCCTGGTGAGGGGAGACTCGGGCACCGGGACATGGGCACGTGCCCCCCACAGCCTCAGGCCAGGCAGAGGGTGCTGAGGGCTGGCGTGTGTCTGCAGCACGTGCTCTGCGTCTGCAGGGCTTCCGGGGCCTCCCTCCAGGGACTCTCAGCTCCGTGAACACAGCCCTCTGGCCCAGCAGTCAGGGCACAGTAACATCTACTGTCCCGGTTCTCAGAGTCAGGCAGCTTTTCCGATGAGACGCAATTCCTTCTTTCCGTCACCGGTCCCCCAGCAGGCTTCCTGCGCTGCCTGGGGGGTGCTGCCCCCGCCCCCGCAGTCTGCTCAGCCCCGATTGTATAAATTACTGTGCAATGTGTGGTTATAACACTCATACATGAGGAACGATGTGACGATTTTAACAAGTACTGGACTAATTGGAACTATCTACCCAGCAGCCCCGGCTCAGCTGGGTCCAGGACAAGGAGCCTGAAGCCCCACACCCAGACGACAGCAGCGCTGAGAAGTTTTCTCGGCTGTTCCACACATTTAAGTTTTTCCTATTTATAAAATCGATACATTTTGGTATGAAATTAAAATCCCTGGAAAGTGAAACAAAACCCCTGGAATGTTTCCATTCAGAGATTCCTGCTGCCAACACATTCGCGTGTTCAACTCCAGGGCACTGGGGCCGGCCAGGGCCTGCGGGAGGTGGGGGAGGGGGGGATGGCGAGGAGGCCCCCACTGCAGGGTCAAGGGACAATGCTGAGTGTTAATGCCATTCGGGCGCCCTCTCCAGCGTCCCCACAGCCAACACCCTTTATAAGGGCCATGTGAGGTGCCTGGAGCCAGCAGGGCCCCTGTGACAACGGTCACACACACACCCACGACGGACCCTCCTCCCTGAAGGGACACAGGAGGGCCAGTGGGAGGCCTGGACAGGGCCCTGACTCCAAGTCAGAAAGCTGCCACACCGGGTCTCCTCCAAGCCCCCGGACCCGGCGGCCAGTGCCGAGCCCACACAGGACCTGGATCCACGCTCTCGAGTCCCCTCGGAAGCCCCACTGGCGGTGACTGTTGATTTTTAACTTTGAAAGGAGTGTGATTCAAATCCACTTGAGTGGACATCACATTCAGCTTCTAATTGGAATACAGAAGCCTGAAGCCCCTCACTCCACCTCACAACAAAGCACCGAGAGAAATTTTCAAGTTTGCAAGTTTTTGTGGGCTCATCAGAGACCCGAGGTCCCAGGGCAACCAGTAACCCAAAACGTAAGGAAATAAAGGCACTTCCGGGACAGACAGGACATGAGCCTGATACTGTGGACACCGAGAAGGAGAATCCAAACTCAACTCAGACGATTCTGAATGTGGGCCCAGAACCCAGTCAGAGAACCCAGGGCCCTGGCAGTTATAAAGGTTGGAGACGGGAACCCGCTGTAGCTGCTTCTCCAGGAACCCTGGGTGCTCACAGAGAAGAGGGGGCCGGGCGGCAATAGCTCAGCCCACATGCCTGTCTAAGGTGTCCACAGGCATGAGTGTGGGGTGGGCACAGGCAGGTGGCCTGGGAGGCACAGGAATGCAGGGATACCCCAGAGGAGCCCCGGGCATGGCCGATACCTGAGCCACCAGCGCACAGGACCACACCCAGCTCAGCACATCCCACGGCCACACAGCCTGTGTGCTCGGCCTCCCGGGGGCAGATGGCCCTTCCATGATGGGACATCTCAGCGTGGCTCGGCATCAGCCCCACACCACCACCACGGGGCCCATGTCCCGGAGCAGAGGGGGAACACAGACGGGTGGGCTTCACAAAGAGGCCGGGAGGAGCCGAGACCACCCGTGCAGAGATCTCACACAGAGTGGGGCCCTCAGAGGCCAGCAGTGGCCAGAGGGTTTGGGGCTCCAGCTCCGTGAGAGGAAATGAAGGCCAACGGCCTATGGAGGAGGGATCGGTGATGCTGTCCAGCTGGAGTGCGTGGTGAGCAGAGCTGAGTCCTCGGGAAAACGGCCCCCATCGCCAGGAGGAGCAGAGAAAGCTAGCCGTGGGCAGAGGCTGACTCTCAGCCCAGATACATCTCAGTACAAACAGCTCCCACTGCTGTGCAAAGTAGACAGACCTGGTTCACATGGTCCCAGGCCTCAGCCCTCACCCACTGTCCATCCTCACTGCAGCCCAAGGCGTTTTGTTGAGCAGCATGAAGAGCAACAAAAGTGGACGGCAGGCAGAGCAGGAACTCTACAGTTTACTGCAGTCCCCACCCCTCCCTGTTGTCAACGCATGCCCGTTGACACATTTACCTTCCCTGCTCCTGAAGAAACATCCTAAGCCCATGATTTTGTAAGAAGTTCACCCTTAGTTCACTGGTAGTGGCAGTCACAGGGTTTAAGGTAAGTGACAAGCACATCTCTTTCTCAGGGGCTGAGCCAGGCCACATGGAGAATAAGCATGACCTGGAGCACCAGGTGTGGGGAGCACAGCAGGCACCCAGCAGAGCAAAGCAACCACAGGAGGCCGGCCCCCCAGCTCACTCCAGTCAACAGCAGGACACGAAGCAGCTCCGCCTGGTCCCGGGAGCCCTGGGTTTGTGAGGAAGCCCCAAGGCCCTGGCAGGGAGGGAGGCCAAGGGTTGGCGGAGGGGGGCGGGGGGGAGGGGGACTGGCTCTGCCCCTCCCATCAGAGCTGTCTGGTTCGGCCGTCAGCGAATCCTCCTCTAAATGGTCACACAGGACATGAGGCACAAACTGTCCATCCAGCAAAGGTGAACCCAGGTGAGACCCAGCTGGGCACAGGTGGGCACAGGTGAGAGTCCTACCTTGGAAGAAGCTCTTCACCCTGAGGTAACTGACGCTGAGACGCAGGACCGAGAGCTTGTCCAGCTTGGAGACAACGTCTGGTGGAAAGGGCAGCAGGCTGGCCAGGTGGTCCAGCTCGGCGTTGAGGCGGTCGCGGTGCCGCTTGGAAGGGTTTGACTTCTCAGCCCCCACAGAAGGCTTCCTGTGGGGAAACAACCAGTCAGACTGGGGTGACTCCGCCAAAGTCCATGGACCACACAGGGGAGACCTGTCCCTGCTTAGAATGGAGCTGCCGCCAGGGGAAAAAGTGCTGAAACAAACTAAAACTCACCCATTCCTGAAAAGGTTCATGCTAAGAATCTGAAACTGCACCTCAGTGACTCTATCTCATTACGGGGAGGAAGGAACAGAGAGATGAAGATCAGGTAGCCTGAGAACCTGGCTCGGTACAAGCTGTGTGACTCCAGCATGGTTCTTGATCTCTCTGTGCTAACTTTCCCAGAAGTGGGAGAAAGGCAGCTGGCTCTAGGCTGTATCTGCTCAGCCTCGTTCAGTAATTCCTGTGTCTAAACACGTGGCCTTCTTAGGACCTGGATTCCTTGCCCTGCAGTCCAGGTGCAAGTGGCCTCTCTGGGCCTCAGTTTCTCCTCTACACAGCAGGGCTGAAAGGGATGAGGGGAGGATAACTGAGGACCCTGGGCACCATGCGCTGTCCCACCTACCCCTCCAAGGCCGAAGTCAAGGGCTGTGCCTCCGTGCAGGTGGGCGGGGCCCTGGCTGCTTTCTCCCCTTGTCCCATAATAGACCAGCTGGCCCCTCAAGGGGGTGTCCCTTGTCCACCCTCCCTCACCCCAGGCCCCCACCTGCCTCACAGTGACCTCCCTCTCTGCCCCTCTGGTCCCCAGGATGACAGTGTCCTTCTTCTGACCCTACTTCCCACCTCTCAGAACAGCTTCTCCCCCTTGTTCTTCCTAGATGTCGCCACAGGAAACCTTCTGCCCCTAAACGGCCGCTAAAGCTGCTGGGAGGGGCGCTGGCTCCAGGGCTGACCCCCCACCCCCACCCCACCCCCGGGCTCCCGCTGCCTCTAGGGGCTGGAGTCTCTTGTCCAGAAGTTCCTATTTTCCTAAGTGTGTTCACTTGTAAGCACACGGAAAGCAGCCCTTAAACAGTCCGTCCTCTTTGTTCTGTCTACAGAGCTGTCCCCTGTGCTGTCTGAGGGCCTCGGCCACAAGACCCACAGCAGGACCTGCAGCCCCAACTCCAGAGTCACTTTTCTGGTTGAGATATAATTCATACAATGTTAACTAACTGACCTAACTGCCATCTGCTCTCCCGCTCCATGCATTTGCCTGCTTGGGGCATTTCACATCAATGGAACCATACAATGTGAGACTTGGTGTCTGGCTTCTTTCACTGAACATCATGTGTTTAAGAGTCATCCGTGGCGTAGCATTTATCAGGACTTTGTTCTTTTTAAGGCTGAATAATGTTCCTCCGCATGGATTTACCACGCTTAGTTCATCCCCTCGCCAGCCCAGGCACATCTGAGTCACTTCCGCCGGTGGGTATTGTGAACATGCCACACAGACACCAGTTTTCACATGTGTGTTCCGTTCCTTTGGGCACAAACCCAGCAGTGGAGTAACTGGCTTGATATGTACTTCTATGTTTAACTTTTTGAAAAACTTCCCAACTGTTCCCACGAGGGCCACACCACTTCATACACCCAGCAGGAGGGGCTCAGCGGCTCCACATCCTGCCCACACTTGTGATTTCCCCTTTCATTCTAATAGACATTCTCATGGGTGTAAAGCGGTATCTCAATGTGCTTTCGTTTGCTTGCCCTTCGTGAGCAGTGATGTTGCGCATCTGTTCATGTGTTTGCTGGCAATTTGTGTATCTTCTCTGGGAAATGTCTATTCAGTTCCTTTGCCCATTTTTAATTGAGTTATTTGTGTTTTTATTGTTGAGTTATAGGAGGTCTTTATATATTCTACATATCAGTCCCTTAGTAGATATATAATTTTTAAATATTTTCTCCTATATCTTTGGGTATCTTTTCATTTTCTGCCCTCCCTCCCTTCCTTCCTTCCTTCCTTCCTCCCTCCCTCCCTCCCTCCCTCCCTCCCTTCCTTCCTTCCTTCCTCTCTTTCTTTCTCTTTCTTTCCCTCCCTCCCTCCCTCCCTCCCTCACTCCCTCCCTCCTTTCCTTCTCTTTCTTTCTTTCTTTCTTTCTTTCTTTCTTTCTTTCTTTCTTTCTCTCTCTCTCTCTCTCTCTCTCTCTCTCTCTCTCTCTCTTTCTTATCTCTTGGTTATTGTTTAAATATATTTTATTGATTTTTTACAGAGAGGAAGGGAGAGAGATAGAGAGTTAGAAACATCGATGAGAGAGAAACATCGATCAGCTGCCTCCTGCACATCTCCTACTGGGGATGTGCCCGCAACCAAGGTACATGCTCTTGACAGAGATATCGAACCTGGGACCTTTCAGTCCACAGGCTGACGCTCAGATCCACTCTTTCTTTTTTTCTTTCTTTCTTTTTCTCTTGGTCTTAATAAGGGCTCTACCCCAAAGTTACTAACACCACTAGGCACAACCTAAGTACACAAGAGACTTCGTGATAAACCGAGCAGTCTCCAATGTGGACTGAGAAAAGGCCCACACTGTCAGTGAAAGACCCCTGAGGTGACCCCAGAAATAGGGCAGCATCAAGGGCAGGTGTGGGGTCAGAGAAGAGGAGAGATGCCGGGTAATGGGCAGGAAGCCCAGGCTCAAATCTCACCTCTGTGTAGACCTGGGGGAGCAGTTGCCCACCTGTCTCCTCAGAGAGCATGTATCTGAGAATGAGCTGAGCATGACTATTCTCCCACCCCCACCTCCATGGGGCACCTGGGGGTCAGGCTGAAGAAATGGGTATCTGAAGAGCTTGGCAATCATCACTCTGTTCCCTCAGAACACCTGGCTGCCCCCGATGCAGTTCCTCCACCCACCCCAGCCCCAAGGGCCAGGAACTGCCCATCCACATCCAGGTGGGTGAGAATGGATGGGATAAGGGACATGTGGAGGATGCTCCAATCCCCTAGGACAGAGACTCAGCAGAAAGTGGTGGGGCCAAGGGACCCAGCACCACCAGCAGGAACAGTGCAGGAGGAGCCCCGGCCAGCTCAGATGGAAGGAGAGTTACAAAGGAAGCAGTGACACCAAAAATGTGAACTTCTTAGAATAAATCTAGCAAAAGACATCCCAGACACCTAAACTGAAACCATAAAATATTGCTGAGAAAAAATTTAAAAGACCTCAGTAACTGAAAAGAAATACCATGTTCATGGATTGGAAGACTCCATATTGTTAAGGTGGCAATGCTCCCCTAAGCTGATCTATAGATTCAATGTGATGCAATCAAAATTCCAACAGGCCTTTCTACAGAAATTGACAAGTTGATTCTAAATTTGCATCGAAATGAAAAGGACCTAGAACAACCCATTAAAAAAGAGGAACGAAGTTGGAGGACTTATCCTATTGATTTTAAGCCTTCTCTAAAGCTACGATATTCAAGATGGATTTGATATTAGAGACAAGATAGAAACATAATGGAACAAAATAGTCTAGAAACAAACGCACATATATTTGGGCAATTCATTTGATAAAGATACTAAGGCAATTTAATAGGGAAAGAAAAGTCCTTTTAATAAATGGTGCTGATTAACTGGACATCCATGAAAACAAGTGAACATCAACCCTCACCTCACACCACACCCCACAATTAACTCAGAAGGGACCACAGACCTGAATCTACCTCCTACAGTATAACTCTACAAGAAAACATGTGAGAACATCTCAGTGACCCTGGGAAGCCCAGATTTTTAGAGCACACACACAAAATCATAAAAGAAAAAAATTGATGATTGAGCTTCACGAAAAATGTTGAAATGTCTTTTGAAAGTCACCCTCACAAAGATCAAAAGGGAAACCCTAGATAGGAAAAATGGTATTCACAAGAGCTTGTATCCAGAACACGCAAAGAAGTGCTACAGCTCAGTGAAAAGACAACCCAGTAAGATAGGCACATTGTTTAAGCAGACACTTCACCGGAGAAGGCGTGTGGCTGGCAAATCAGCACTGGACAGGTCCTCCACACCTGCAGTCCCTGGGGAGAGGCAGGTGAGCACCACAGCACCGGCAGAATGGCTGACGCCAAAGGGACCGTGTCCCAGTCGGGGACAGAGGGCAGAGCAGCCAGGACTGCCGCCCAGATGTAAACAGTGCAACTGCTTGGGAAACAGTTTGGTGGTTTCTTAAGAAGCTAAACACTCACCCCCTATGTGACTCAGCGATTCCACTCCTAGGTATTTATTCAAGAGAAATAAAAGCACATCCACACCAAGACCCACACACGTTTAACGTCGCAGCAGCTTTAGTTGCAAAGGCCCCACACTGGGACCAGCCCGGGTGTCCATCTGCACGCAAATAAACGGACGTGGGGTTCCCATCTGGGGCACGACACTGATGCACAAATTATGGAGGCATCTCAAAGTCGCCTGCCCAGGGAAGAAGCGTGTGATCACATCTATAGAAACCTCCAAGAAATGCAGGCCAGTCTGCGGGAAAGAGGCATCAGAGGCTGCCGGGACGAGGTACAGGAAGGAATGACAGGGAGACTCTGGGAGTGGCAGGCGTGTCTGTGACCTTGGTTCCAGTGACATTTTCACGGGTGTTTACGTAGGTCAAAACCGATCGGACAGTGCACTTTAAAATTCATTTTTTCATATATTTTTTATTGATTTCAGAGAGGAAGGGAGAGAGAGAAACATCAATGATGAGAATCATTGATTGACTGCCTCTTGCACGCCCCCTACTGAGGATTGAGCCCGTAATCCGGGCATGTGCCCTTGATGGGAATCGAACCCAGGACCTTTCAGTTCTCAGGAGGACACTCTATCCACTGAGCCAAACCAGCTAGGGCTGGATGGTGCACTTTAAATCCATGCAGTCAAAGGTACTGCAGTTATAGCCCAATAAAGATGAAAAATTCAGACAACAGAAGGGAAGGCCCACCGCTCACTCCCCCTGTGAGCCCCGCTGCTCCCAGAAGCCCTGGGGACCCAACAGCACCCAGGTCCACTCCCTGCATCCAGCCCGAGGAAGCCTCTGAGGAGCAGGTTCTGCCCAGGAGCCGGACACTCGTGAGTCCAGGCAAATGCTCTCTCCTCTGTCCGCCCCATGCTCCACGACTTTCTCACCCACACCTTCCAGGAGAAAGATGGGCACCCACAGACCCATCACCCACCCCAGAGGGCAGGGCCAGACCAAAGCCCCACAGCCCTCTGGCCTGGCAAGGAGGCCGAGGCCACAGCTGGAATACAGGGATGTAGCTCACACCCGAGGAGGGGCTGTGGGCTCGGGTGCCCTGCATTCAAACATCAAAAACAGAAGTCGTCTGGCCCCCAGTTTCCTGGAACATGTCCCTGTGGAGATGCTCGGCACGCATGCACACACCCAGCTGCTCCCCATGAGCGTCCTGAATCCGAGTCTAAAATGCTCGATGCCGCTTACATCAGGGAGGAAAGGACTGATTATTCAATAACAGTGTTAATAACAACATTCAAACTTTTTTAAAGGAATCCATAAAAGTTGAGAAGAAATATTTGCAAAATTCTCTTATAAACATGAAACATTTCTAATGATGATGTAAAATTAACCACAAAGGAAAAGATTAATGCATTCAACTTTATAAAAATTAAATGTTTCTGCATGGCAAAGGACACCATAACTAAATCAAAACTGGGGAAAAGTATTTGAAACACACTCAAGAATTAGTCTCCCTGACACACAAGCTCCTAAGGATCAAGAAGCACAGAAACATTAACAACTTAATAGGAAAATGAGCAAAAGTTATCAACACAGTTCGCAGAGATGGAAATGCAATGGCTCTTAAACCTCACTTGTGACTAAAGCATCCAAATACCAAAGCCTGAACCACATATGTGCCAGCTGGGGAAGAGGCACACCTTGAATGTGGGGCAGTGTGGTGACCTGTCAGTAGTGGCACAGATGCCCACACCGCTGACTGAGCAGTCCCACGTGAGGCATGAGTGTGCATGTTGGGCTGGGCCTTAATTTACCTTCTTGCAAGCTAACAACCTGCTACTGCTCCATGGGTGCTGGCAGGAGGCACAAGTCTGCGCCTTCTGCCTTGCCCTCACCCAGGTGCACATCGCTCCATTCTCCAGCCGCCCTCCCCTGCAGACCACGCCGTGCCTGTGTTCCTGGCACCCGCCCCACCTAAGGCCTGTGGTGCCCTGAGGCCACAGGGGCCACACGACAGACTCAGGTGACAAATCTGCTTGCCAAAGTCCAGCCTCACAGGCCTTTGCTGCCTCTCCTTGGGGCTGTGGAGCCACACTGCTGAGAACCTCACACAGAATCCTGCAGCTGCATGAGGCCAGGGGGCGGTCAAAGAACACAGACCCACACACAGGCTGCTGACGGTGTGCACCCACACACACAGTCCACGCACATACGCAGTCACTCAGAACTGTATTATACACATGCACACACAGCTGAATTACACACACACTCACACAGCTATATCGCACACACACAGCTGTATTACACACAGCAGTATTACACACACTCACACAGCTGTATTGCACACACACAGCTGTATTACACTCACACAGAGCCCCAGCCGATGGCGGACACCTGCAGGACTCCTGTTGAAGGAGCCTGTGGGCCACTGGGATGCCACTCTCTGCTGACCCCCAGCAGGGCATCCCCTAAGCCCTGTTATTCCCGCAGCTACCACAGACCTCACACCTCTGTGGCCCAGAGCTCCACTGGGCCAGCCACAGGCAGGCGGAGGGACTGTGAGCAGTGGTGATGTGGTGGAAGGGGGCCTGGAGCCGCCTGTGGCGGGGGTTCTGGAAGCTCCAGGCAGGGAAGATGAGCCCCCACTCCTTCCATCTGTGGTGAGGCTCTCAAAGGAGCCCTGGGTGGGTCCCAACTGAGGACAGGGGGTCACCAGGGCACAGAGGGGGTTGGGTGCTCACCACTGACGGTGACATCGCAGCCCTCCATGGGGGCTTCTGGCCGAATAAGCATCACTGGGCCTCACCTCACCGTCATCAAAGTCAGAGCAGCTACAGCAGGCTCTACAGCAGTGGCCACCTACAGGCGGGCAGCGGCGGCCTCCTGCTGCGGGCCAGTGTGCACGCCCTGCCAGGCCTCCCAGGTCCCTCCATCCCTCAGGCAACCGTGACCAAAACCTCTCCTGAAATTCACTTTGCCAGTGAAAGTGCACACACCGTCCCCCTTCATCGGTGACAACCAGCAGAAAAAGAAGGTAATACGTTACTGTTTCTGGACGGGCTTCCTTCTCTTCCTCCCTGCGTACATGCACTCCCCCGGCGGGATCATCTTCGGCCTGGAAAAGAAGGGAGCACCTGGTTGGTCATGTTGAAGAGGACCCAGGGCCCACCCGACTCCCCGCACCACCCAAGGCAGCAGTGTTAGCTGAGGTCCCTGTGCCGGGATCGAGGTGTCATGCTGCCCTGCACCCCCTGTACAGGGGTCCCAACTCCTCCATCGCCACTCGAGCAAGTTGGCCCACGGCACTTCCTGCACAAGCCTGCGCTGCCCGTGCCTCCTCTCACTCAGGGCACACCGGCAACATCTCCCCTTCGATGGGCAGCATCACATTCCCAGCCTGGCCCGAGGACCTGCATCACTGCACCCTACATTGAACACCCTGTGCTCTTGCCCCTGCCTCCCTCGGAAAGCCTGACTGTGGGCAAATGTACTGGGCCTGCCCTCAGGACGCAGAAGCCGATCCACGTGGACCCGTGAGCAGGACGCACAGCCAGGGCACAGCGGCAGGCTCCGTGCAGGCCCAAGGCTGCGTGTCCTCTCTCGGTGGCCTCTGTGGTGGGTCTTCTTCCTCTTCCCATCCTCCCCCTAATGGCTCTGAAATCTGGGCCAATAGGCTTCCTCTTTTCTGTGTAAAATCTGTCACTTAGGCCACAGTGCGGGGCTTCCACTTTGGTCGCTAACTCACAGCTGCACCAAGCCCAGCTGACCAAACCCGCCAGCCTCCACCAGCGCCGCTGGACAGAGGTGCCCCAATCCAAGCAGTGGCCCTGAGGGGCAGTCACACTGTCTGTGCCCTGAGGCTGGTCAGCGTGTCAATCACTTCAGGCTTCTGCACAGCGAGGATGTCTGGGGCCTCACATCCTGCAGATATGACCACTCCTGTGCAGTGACCACTCAATGCCAGGTTCTGGGCCCACAGATGTGGAGAGGAGGTCAGGAGCCCTCACCTGGCCTCAAGCGCCTGCAACCTGGAAGAGGAGGGAGACTCAAACACAGAACTTCCACTCTGTGCAGAAAGTGCCCTGAGAATATCAGGTATGTGTCATGGACCCACTTCAAATACACGCAACACACTGTGAATATAAAGACATCAGCAGGTACAGTAAGTGGATGAAAAAAGACACATCATGCAAACGCTAATCAAAGAGGCTGCAGTAGCTGCATGAGTATCTGACAAAGTAGACTTCAAAAAGGGGATATTCCCAGGGACAAAGAGGGATATCACATGATGACAGACGGTTCCGTTTTCCAAGAAGACACAGCAATCCTAAATGTGTGTTCACCTAACAACACGGATGCTGCAAAATACATAAAAAGGTAATTCATCAGAGACTGCAACACTGCTCTCTCAGTAATTAAGACAATGAGTAAACAATACCAACAGGATATGGATCATCCAAACAACAGACATGAACGAATTGGAACTTAGAGAACACTCCATCCAACAACAGCAGAGTACACATCCTATCATTCATCAAGGTAGATTACATTCTGGGAATTAAAACAAATTTAAAAGAATAGAAATGGTATGAAGTATATTTGCTGACAATTATGGAATTAAACTAGGAAAAATACCAAAAATTCCAAAATATTTGGAAAGCAACCTATGTCTAAATAACCATAGGTCAAAGAGAAAGTCTCAAAGAAATTTAAGTCTTTTGGACTAAATGAAAATGAGAATACAACACATCACACTTTGTAGGTTACAAGCTGAGCAGTACTTTGATGGAAACTGATAGCATTAACCATTTATATTAGAAAAAAATGTCTCAAATCAGTAATCTAAGTTTCCACTATAAGTAACTAGAATAAAAAAAATACAAATCAAGCAAAAAGATGGGAATAATAAAGAGGAAAAAATCAGTGACATTTAAATAGAAACATGGAGAAAAATCAATGAAAACAAAAGTTGGTTCCTTATAAAGATCAACAAAATTTATAAGCCTCTAGCCAGACTGATCAAGGAACAAGGGACATCACTATAGACCCCACATACACTAGAAGGAAAAGAAGAGAATACTTCTATGATACTGCTATGAACTTAGTTGTTCTCCCTCCCGCCCCCCGCCCCGCCCCCGCTCCGCCGCATATCCATATGTTGAAGCCCTAATCCTCTATTTGACTATATTGGAGACAGCACTTTTCAGGAGACAATTAAGGTTAAATGGGGTCATGAGATGGAGCTCTGTTACCCTGGTAAGAAGAAAAAGAACTCTCTCTTTACCATGTGAAGGTGGCCATCTGCAAGCCAAGAAGAGACTCTCACTGGAAACCAAATCAGATGACACCCTGATCTTGGACTCCCAGCCTCCAGAACCATGAGAAATAAATTTCTATTGTGTAAGCTGCCCAGTCTACAGTGTTATGGCAGCCCGAGTTGACCAAGACACACACTATACCCACAAATCCAACAATTTAGGTTAAATAGAAAAATTCCTTGAAAAACACCAACTACCAAAACTCACTCAAGAAAAAATAGATAGCATGTTTAGTCCTATGTCTATTCTGAAAACAATGGTTTCACTAGTAAATTCTACCAATTTAAGGAATAAATAATACTAGTTCTCTGCAACCTCTGGCAGAAAATGAAAAATAAAATAAAAAATTGCCAACTCATTTATAAGTTCAGTATCACCTGTTACCAAAAAGCAAAGACAATTTCGAAGAGAGAAAACTACAGACCAATATCCCTCATGAACAGCCCATCCATGAAGAAAATGACACCTGGGCACAATCATAATCAAATAATCAGCTATAAACAGAATAATCTTTAAAACAGTCAATGGGCAGAGAAACAAAGGTGAGAGTGACAGCAGATGCCTCGTCAGAAACATGCGTGCCGGAAGACAGTGGGGCACTAGCCTGAAAGCATGGAGAGAGAAAACACCCTGTGAAAATACCTTTCAAAAATGAAGGTGAAATAAAGACTGTTTCAGACACATGAAAGCTGAAAGAACCCAGCTGACCCAACTAGAAGAAATGTGAAAGGGTGTCTTCAGGCCAAAGGAAACCGATACCAGATGGTAACATGGAACACAGAATGGAACACAAAGCACAGATTTGTTCCTGCCATTAAATATCTTTAAAAGATAATCGACTGTTTAAAAACAATGATAACACTGTATCATGGCTTTATAACACATGTAAATGTCAAGGGTGTGGCAAGGATAGCACAAAGGCCAGGGAGGGAGGTGGGGGGGGGGGTAAGGGTCCTACACTACCCCTGAAGGGGTAGAAGGTAGCCTCCAGGCTCCACACTCACCCTCCCTGCCAGATCCACACGGATGGGCTGCACCCCTCAAGCATTTTTTCTTTTAAGTTAGCACAATGTGCAAAAGTGAGGGGCTTCAAGTTCCATTGCTTCTGATCTTTCTGTGTGTTTCTGCTCACCACTGCCAGAGGCTGGGACCCAGTGAACTTCACCAAGAGGCTGGGACCCAGTGAACGTCACCAACCGGGGGCTGAACAATACCTTCTCCAAGGTTTGGGGAGGGTCTTTCACATCTAAGTGTGCTCCTCAACTTGCTCAGGCCTGGAGAATCCTTCAGGGTCTCTTTTCACTGTTGGAGCTAGTACTTACTTCTTTATATTTAAGTCTCTCAAATCACACACAAAAAGATTAAGGGTATAAAAAGCTAATTTTTTAAAGTGCACATATTTCAGAGATAGATACTAAAACACATATGAAAGAAATAATATGTCAGGGATTTGCTTCTACAACGAGGGAGCAGAGTGGTGTCTGAATGGAATTGGATCAGCTAATATGGGTGGTTGGCCATCTATGCTGGCTGAAGAATAACTTGGGCTCATTACAAAATTGTGCCCACTTTTGTAAAAGATGTGAAAAGATCCATAATAACTTTTCAAAGCACTAAAAAGAGACAAAATGTGCCATAAGAATAGGCATACTGCAGTCGATTGGTTTTCAACAAGGGTGCGAAGGCCATTCAATGGGGAAAGGACAGTCTCTTTAACAGTGGTGCTGGGACAACTGGGTATCACAGGCCGGAGAATGAAGATGGACCCCTACCTGACAGCATATAAAAAAATTAAGCAACATTAGTTAAAAGACCAAAGTGTAAGAGTTAAACTATAAAACTCTCGAAGAAAACATAGGGCTACATCTTCAGGACCTTAAATTTGGCAATGAATTCTTAGAAATGTTATCAAAAGCACAAGTAAGAAAAGAAAAAAATAGACAAATTGGATTTCATCAAAATTAAGACTTGTGCTTTAAAGAACACTCTCAAAAAAGTGAAAAGACAGCCCACAGAATGGGAAAAAAACATTTACCAATCATATAACTGATAAGGATCTAGTATTCACACTATACAACGAACTCCTACAACTCAACAACAAGAAGACAAACAACCCAATTTAAAAGTGGGCAAACAATTTTATTAAATTTTTTTCCAAACAAAATATAGAAATAGTACACAAACACATGAAAATATGCTAAACACCATCAGTCACTAGGGAAATGTAAATCAAACCCGCTATAAGATACCAGGTCATATCACTGGGATGGCTATAATCCAACAAGTCTTGCTGAGGCTGTAGAGCAATTGGGACCATTGTACACTGCCAATGGGAATGTAAAATGGTGTGGCTGCTGCGCAAAACAGTGTGGCATTTCCTCAAAAGGCTAAATGCAGAGTCGCCATATGACCCAGCAACCCCACTCCTAGGTGGGTGTCCAAGAGAACTGAAAACCTGGCACACAATTGCTCATGGCCACATATTCACAGGAGCCGGAAAGGGGAAGTAACCCAAATGTCCATCATCTGGGGGATGGATAAACAAGGTGTGGTCTCTATAGAGTGGAATATGACTCGGCCACAAAAGGAGTGAAGTTCTGTTGCTATAACATGGGTGAACCTTGAAAACGCGGCGCTATGTGAAAGAAGGCAGACTTGAAAGGGCACACATTGACTCCGTTGATATGAAATGTCCAGAACAGGCAAATCCATAGAGACAGAAAATAGATTCATGGTTGCCAGGGGCCGGAGGGAGGAATGGGGAGTGAGTGCTAATGGGTACAGTTTCCATTTGGGGTGAAGAAAATATTTTGGAATTAGACAGAGGTGGTAATTGCACAAATAAAAGGGTAATATGCTAATTAGGCCAGACATCTTCCAGACGACCTTCCAGTCGTCCTTTCTGGACAAAGCCATGGTGGCGGTGGCTGTGGCGGGGCCGAGGCAGAGGTGGTTAGCGGCGATCAGGCCAGCAGGGGAGAGCAGTTAGGGGAATCAGGCTGGCAGGCAGGTGAGCGGTTAGGAGCCAGCAGTCCCGGATTGCGAGAGGGATGTCCAACTGCCGGTTTAGGCCCAAGGGGTCCCGGATTAGAGCGGGTACAGGCCAGGCTGAGGGGAACCCCCTCCCCACCCACTGCACGATTTTGTACACCAGGCCTCAGGGAGCCCTGAGCCACGAGCTGTGGTGGTTGAGCCGGGATAGGGTCCAGGTGGCCACAGGCTGGAGCAGGAACAGGTGGATGGATGGTTTAGAAGACCCAGCCTTCTCAGGCTCACCGGTACCAGAGCCACCATGCCCACACTTTTCAAGAAGCCAGGCCCTCGATGGCTGGACACCTGTATGCAAGACCCTCCCATCTGAACTGCAGGCCTTTCAACTCAAACAGGAGAGTCCTGAGCCAGCCTGGGGGAGAGCAGGCCAGGGAGGTTCCCCTGAACCCCAAGAGGAGCAGGGCACTTAGTAACCAATTCAGCCACCCCTCAAGTTCCAAGGTGAAGGGGACAGCTGACCTGCACCAGCCCCAGGAGACCCTGCCCCAGCAGCACCATTCCCCAAATGAGCCTGAGCCTCGGAGCAGGGATATGAGGTGAGGGGACACCCGGGAAGATGGACAGGGGATCAGGGAACACTCGAGGAAGGGCGGCACTGACCCCCTCGCTCTCCATCCAAAACCCTCCTCCTCACAGCAGGAGCTCCCACCAAGCCACATTCTCCCTGTGTCTCCAGCTCAGTGTTCAAAGGACCCTAAAAACACAGGTTATGGCAAAAAGCACCAAGAACAGACATATCTCTCCAGGTACCTCTCTACTGGGGATATCGGAGCTGACAGTTGCCCCCCACCATTTCCCCAGCCCAGTCCCAGTTTGAGTAACACAGCTTGGAGTCTGATCTGTGCCGAATTCCCAGCCTAGGAATCATAAATATAGGAGGCGGATACCACGCAGTAGGTTCTCCGTTTTACTGAATATTTGTGCACTCTCCTCAAAAAGGTGAAGCCTCCTAGGACGGAACCAACCTTCCCACAGACATGCGGGAGGGACGCAGGCCCCAGCCCAGGGTCAGCTTCCTTCTCCATCTCTGGGGGTCAGGGTCCTTGTAGCCTGAGGCTGCCCAGGGCCAGGTCCCTCCAGCAGCGGTGGAGGCATGCAGGGGGCTGGGTGCCACATATGGGGAGCAACAGGTGCACCGAGCCCGACTAGCCAACTTGTGGGCCTTCGTCCGCCACCAACCTCTGAGCTGATTGTGTCCAGAGAAAGCTGAACTTTTGCACAAACCTTTCTCTTACAAGAGGCAAAAGGAATAACTGTCCTTTTAAGAGAAATAAAAGCAAAAAACAAACAAAATTCCTCCCCACCCAGCAGCACCCCCACCCTCTTTCCACAGGGCATCATTGCTCTGGGACCAAGCCTGGGCAGAAACCACACACAATCTGGGTCCAGACTCCACCAGTTAGCGCCTGGAACTCCTGCTCTGTAAAATAGGGTGACTTCCGGCCACCTCAGGAGACGGCAGAAACCCTTCGCCAGGACCGCACCTGCCCACCAGTGGGACCGCAGAGTCTCCTCCACCCTGTCTAACAGGCTTCCACCCAGGAGCCTGCAGAGGCCAGGCCTGGCGTGGGGCAGAGGCTAGCCAGGTTTAGGAGCTGCCTCTGCCAGAAGCCCCTGCAGAGTGCCCTCAGTGGAGAAGTCCAGTTCACAGCTGTCAAGTACCCAGAGCCTGGGGACAGATGCCCAGCGCACACTTAGGACCAGAGGCCATGGCTGGTCCCACAGAAGCCACCTCCCCCGCCCCCACGAGGACACCCACAGCTGGAGGCCTGCTGGATGCTTCCAGGGGACAAGTACCTCCGGCCCTAGCCCTGGGAACCAACCAGGAAACAGGAGGGAACAGGGGCTGATGGGCCAAGGCCTCTGACCTCTGACCCTGAATAGCACCAGCCCCTCCCAACGGGGGGTCACTGGGGCACCACCAGGGTGGGCAGGTCCCTGAGGGTCTGTGTCACTCACAAAGTATCCACAACCTGGGATTTTCAGCCACTCAAACCAAGACTTTAGGGGGGAAACTTTCTTGGTGCCACTAACTGAAAGGGAGCGAATTCCTGGAACTTGGGCCCTTCCGCCCTTCCCAAGTGTGAGAACCAAGCCCGGTGCTCCATGCCAGGAAGCAGGGGCCGAGCTGTGCCAGGGGCCGAGCTGTGCCACCCCGGCTCTGGGGGCCCCCGGCCCAGCCTTCCACTCCCAGCTGCCCTGGTGAGGGCTCAGGGCATGGGTTCAAAGCCCACCATCTGCCCAAAACATTTCTGAAAGAAACTGGGCTAAGACTGAAGGGCAATTAAACCAACTGCCCTAAGGCGGGTGGGTCACAAGCAGGAGCTTCAAATCCCTGCATGGGGGGAGGGGGAATGGGGACTGAGGCTATTGGAGGGGAGAATTGGGGACCATGGTCAGTGGAAGTGGACAGGCTGTCCTCAAAAGTCCCTTTTTTATTTTTAAGTGAGAAGCTGCCCGTCGGACCCCAGGGCCTGGAGATGTGGGGATGGGGTGGGAGGAGGGTGATCCAAGGAAGGATGGGGTAGGAGGACCCGTGGCAGGAAGGCTCCCCACGAGCGCCTCCATCGCGCAGCGGGGCCACGGAGCCCGCCCAGGGCACTTACCAGGGCCGCTCTGCACGGAGGCTCAGGCGCGCCCGCGGGGGAAGCCCGGGCCGGGAGCTGTGGCAGCGCGGCTGCAGGCTCTCGCATCTCGGGGACCAGGCGCCGCGGCAGCCGCGGAAGGGACGGCCCCACCCCGGCACGCGAGTCCGCCCCGCCCCGGAGCCGACCGACCCGGAGGCGGCAGGGGGCGCGCGCGCGGCCCCTTCGCCTGCCCTGGTCCTCCCGGTCTGTGTGCGCCTCTGCGGGGGTCGCGCCCGGCGCCCCTCTATCCCGGTGGCCTCCCCAGGACCTGTCCGCGCCAGGGTGGGCGGTGCCCTGTGCCTCTCGCGAGGGCCCCATGCTCCCCTCTCATCCTATAGCCCTTGTCCTCAGCGTGCTTCTCCTCCACCTGCGCCCGCGTCGTTGGAGCGCACACGTGCGCCGGGCCCAGGTGCAAGGCTCGGGCTACCTAGCGGCGGGCGGGGGCGCGGAGGTCCCGACCCCAATAGGTAACAGGAGGACAACGTGTCCGGCCCCGCCTGCTCCAAGGGGTTGTAGTGGGAATCAAAAGGTTTACAAACTACAACATTGTAATACTTTGGACCCTGAACTTCCCAGGAACCCCCGCGTCGTTCGTGCGATGTCCCAATCCGGGATAGTTGGGGTCCCACCGGGTGGGTGCGCGCGGCGTGGACGCCCTGCTCTGCCAACCCGCACGCGTTGGGCACCGGACCCGCACGGCCAAGCGCACGATCCTCTTCCTGACCACCCCTCGGGCACGCTCCCTCGTCCTCCACTCTTCCACAGTGGTCCTCAGGCCCCTGTCCTCCTCCGTCCCGGTGGAGACCTCTGGACTTTTACCCGCACGCCCACCTCGAGGCTCAGACCCGTGTCCTTCCTCGGAGCTTTCGGCACTCACCCTGAGCCCGGCCTCACACCCTGAGGCCCCTGCCCAAAGTCGGAGAGGCCCCCCACACCGCAGCCCACTCTGAGGCACCGTCCTGTCCTCACTGGGTCCTGGGGTGAGGATTAACACAACAAAACAAAATAACAAACAAACAAAGAAACAGTGCAGCAAAACAAGCAGGAATTTATTGGCCGCAGCAAAAACACACTCAAATGAGACATTTATTGAAGTTGGGGGCAGTGACACAGGAAGGGCTGAGCATAGAGGCAGCAGGAGAGCCGGGGCGGGCGGGGCCGCTGGGCTCACTGGGAAGTCAGAGAAAAGGGGGCCTTGGAGACAGGTTCGGGGGTGAGCCCAGGATGCGTGCTGGGTCCTTTGAGTTGAGGGTATTTCTCTCTCTCTTGCAGGTGGAAATCTCAAGGAGGTCTCAGAAGGTCTCAATGGAATATGTATCAGCCTCCCAGGTGTGTCCTTTCAGGGCGAGGTCATTAGTCAATGCAGCTGGTCCTGAGGCAGCCATACTGTTGCTTGTCTGGTTTTGCTGCTTTTCTGGACTTGGAGCTGAAACACAACTGAGGCCTAGATGCTATCTTTCAGGAGGAAAATGGGGGGGGGGGGTGTCTAAACTGCATGACCAGCGATATGAAAGGTCAGAGATCCAAACCCGCGACCAGTGATATGCTAGAGGAAAACAGGTTTCCTGCGGGCGGCGAGGTCCTTGTTTTCCCAGTTTTGCCCCTTGTGAGGCATCCATCTGGGGCTTCCAGGCCCATCATCCTTGCTCTGCTCACGTGTCTAGCTGCCTATTACAACTATACACAGAAAAGTTGGATAACTCTCAGGTTACAGGAGAACTTTAATCTTTTTTCTTTTTTTACTTTTTAAAAATCTTTTGCAAGAAGCATGTGGTACTTTTTTGGTAGTTTTTTCTCTTTGTTAAAGAAAATAAGTAAGCACTTGTTGGAGTAGCAGTGGTGACCTGGGTCAGTGTGGGAAGTCCAGGCCTGTAGAGCCCTTGGATGTAGGAATGAGGGCAGACACCTGGGTGAACACCCTGAGGAATTTGAGCTTTGTAGTAAGAGCCGACACTTCCCCTGCATGGGAAAACGGCACCCCCACACCTCAGGGGACCCCCTGCTAGCCTTGTTGTCCAAACACCAGTCATACCCACCCACCCCATCCCATCAGGGAACTGGCTGCAGCCAGACAGGTGAAGCCGCACAGCCCCAGGTGCTGACGACAGCCAGCGTCCACCTCCCCCTCCTTCCCTCAAGCTGCCCTGGATGGGCACAGGCCATCCACCTCGGCCACCCCGGGTGCAAAGCCTCAGGCAGGAAACGGAAACAGGATGACCCTCCCCAGGTAGGCCGCCTCCCCTGCAGTCCTAGGGCTCCCAGGGGAGTGCCCTTGCTAGGAGCCTCTGGGGACTCCCCAGGACAAAGTGGCTCCCGCCCTCCTCCATCCGAGGCAGTTTTCCCAGGAGCTCAGTGGGCACATCTTCCCTTGGGCAACTTCTTGTTCACACAGGTCCTGGGCGCACACAACAGTTGGCGGTGTACATCCAGGCGTCCCCTATGCCCTCCCCATCGGGACCACCCTGCCCGTACCCCCACCACTCGGGTCCAGGTGCAGCGGACATGCCCCGTCACAGTGCAGGGGCCCTGATCCAGGCCTCCTCAGCACCCCCCCCTGCCCCCGGGGACGCCCATTCTCTTTCCCTCCAGTCAGGACCCCCCACTGCAGATAGGCGGAGTCCTGCTCCCACCAGGTGAGGAGGAGTGCCTGTTTCCTGGTCCAGCTGTTCAGAGTGGCAGGAATGGGTGCTGGGGAAGGAGAAACCCCCAGGTGCCACCCTCTCTCCCAAACGTCTGCATCCAGATGTGGCCATCCCAGGTGAGAGCTCAGTGCTGTGACAGCTAGCTTCATGAGCTGTGACCACTCCAAGAATGGCCCTGCAGCCACTGCGGCTCCCGGTGCCTCCCCAGACTCCACCCGCAGGAGGTCCCAGGGCAGAGGTGGAGAAAGGGGCAGGACCGTCCAGTAGATACCCATCTCGGGAAGCCAGGAGCCCCCACTGGTGCAGGGACATTGAGTCAACTAATTGGAGTTCAAGGGTTGTTCCTGAACACCAAAGGCGTGGTTGTGGCCGACTGGCAAATGGGTACAGAGGGCGAGGAGGTGACATGCTCTCGGGGAGTGGCTGGTCTGACCCTGCCACTCACCTCCACCGCCCACTGTCTCCTCCCTGGTGTCAATAACCCAGCCTCTGGTGGCCCAAAGCCCCCCACAGAGCCCCACCTCTGCCGGCTGATGCATCTCAAAGGTGTGTGTGTGGGGGCGGGGGGGGGGGGAACCAAGTGAACATACTTTGCAGGTTCCTCTGCTAGCAGGAAACCAGATGGATTCCCCACCCGAAGCAGACCTCAGGGTCTCACCCAACATGGGTGTCTAGCAGGTAAGCCACTCCTGGGTGCACTCTCCTTCCAAGGAAGTGGGGAGTGGGAGACCCACACTTGTGAAGAAGGCAGAGCAAAGACCCTTCAGGGTTTGCAGGTGCTGTTCCCTCTGACTGGAATGCTCATCCCTGCAAATTCTGGCTTGTCCTACTCCTTCAGCTTAAAGGTCTCCTTCAAGAAGAGGCCACTTTTGTGCCCTTCACCAACTGACATTTGGGTTTACGGTGGGGGCAGTGCAGGAACTTTCACTCACCTTGTACCCTGCTACAGCTCCATAGTCCATGGGGGAGGGGGAGGGGTGGGGGAGAGGAGAATGAGGGGAAGGGGCAGGGGGAGAGGAAAGGGGGGAGGGGGGAGGATAGAGGAAGGGGGAGGAAAAGAGATGGGGAGGAGGGGGAAAGGGGGAGGGCCAGCTTACTGTACTTTATTTCCTGACATACTTACTCTATTTTATTTCCTTTCTTGCACACCCCCAGCCCGACTGAACAAAGACCCATTTGCTTGGTTTTCCTTGAACCTGCTGTTGTCCTCCACATCCTCTGGCAGCTCTGCAAAAGCTGTCCCTTCCGCAGGGTTCCATGAGTCAGACCGTCTCAATCCCACACACAGGGACGGCTCCCCCCGGGCTGCTGCCCACTCCCTGGCTACCCTGGGCCTGTCCCATGTTGGTTCCGGTTCCTGGAGCCCGGGCCTTCCTCTTGGTTGACTCACATTTGCTGGAGCACACCCTCCAGGAGCTAAACGTGGGGGAAACCTCTTGAAGACTCAGTCCACCTGCACAGCTGGCAGACGGCTAGACAAGGACAGGACTGAAGATGGAAACAGCTTTCCCTCCACATGCCTGACGTTCGCTGCTCCTGGTGCAGCCATCCGTCCCCGAGCCTCACGGGGGCCTGTGCCAGGCCTCTCGGGAGGGTTAGGGTCTCCTTGTCCCCTGTGGTCCTCAAGGCAGCCTTGTCCATCTGCAGTGCCGGACACCAGTGCACCCTTCCTTCCAAACCAGCCTCACCTGTTCTGGAAAATGCCCCCCCCCCCACCTTTGTTTTTAAATTTTCTTCCCTATAGTTTTGTTCTTTCATTTTCCCCTACCAGATATTCTATTTTTAATTTCTACAAGTGAATTCACATTCTGTATTCTTTCTTTCTTAAAGGATCTGTTGGTTTTCTAATGGATGCAGTGTCTTCAGTCATCTCTGGGATGCCAGCTGTAGAGTGTAGGATTCTAAACACTTCAATTGCCTTTCACAAACGTCAGGCGAACTCTGTGGGGCTTCATACAGGAGGGAGCACTGCCCTGAACAGGCACTCTGAGGGGTGGGCATGTTGGGCGGTGGGCATTGCAGGCATGTTCTCAGTATGGTGGTTTCTCTGACCTCCTGCCTGGGGGTGAGGGGCTTGTCCTGCAGGAACCTTGTGGGCAGCCCTCTGTCCCCCTTTGCTGCCACCACCTTCCTGAGCCTTCCCAGGCTCTGCAGGAACTGGCACCTTCTCCCTTCTCCCCTGAATTGTCTGACGCCAACAACCTTCATTGCTGAAGGCAATGTCAAGAGGAACTTTCCATCTGAAAGCCTTCCTCAATTATTGGCAGCTATTTAAGACACCCCTGCTGGCCTATGTGTCACCTGGTGGGGAAAGCTGACAGGTTAGACGTGCCCTCTTCACTCCCCATCTCCCAGTGTGACATGGCAGGGTCAAAACTCCAACCTAACCACTGCCGATCATGTGATCTCTGCCAAATTATGGGCCCTCTCTGGGTTTCC